ATTCACCTGGGTTCAAATAAGAACATTTCTGGACTACCAAATTCCTCAACCTTTGATTAAAAGAAGGAACACTCACAGCCCACATTGCACAGGCACCCAGTGTCCTTCGTGCACGGATCCTGAAGGTCTATTTGATTATACAGAGAGGCATGCAGCTGGGTGCCAAGGGCGCAGCAGACTCTGGGTTTATCGCCCCTTTTGCCTACCTGAATCACACTAAAATAGGGAAGGCGAGGGGGACAAATAAATCTTACTGAATAAATGTCATTCCCATTCCCAGTTTTCTTTCCTTCCTACACAGCCAATACTTTTTAATCATCTTGTGTCAGTACAATGTCATGTTCTGTAATAACAGCGCGAGATGAAGCTGCTTATCTTTGACAGCACAAACTATTTCTGCCAGGGTTTTGCTCAAAGCAAGTGCTTCTCCACATCTCTGCAGAGTGGCCATTTCCTCGGTGCCAGTTTCTGCCACACCAAAAAGATAAACTGCTTTGTACGCAGTGATGATCTTAATGCTCTTGCTTTCATATAGCTGCTCTTATCCCTCAGGAAGAATCTCAGTGTGCTTTACAAACATTGCCAACAGATTTACAAACTATATATAGAAAACATTTCACTCGCTACTGATGTACAGACATAGGGTGACCACAGCAGCTGTTTGGAATTGCATCGCGATATTGCTCAACAGGTTTGGACAGGAAGTAGAGGCCACTGTATTGCAAAGAAAGTAGCAGAGGAACTGCTGCATGCACAAAAAATGTGGGTTTTGGAAGTGCAGTTTGAATGGGACACTGTTTAGGCATCTGCAGTTAGCCTATTCTTTCCCAAAAAAGCATGATAAAATAGGCAACATCTGCCAATGTAAGCATTATTATTCATGGTGGTATTTGCAAATATACCATATTTGCATGTCCAGGTCAGGTGGTTATTAAATTATAAGTGATTATGAAAAGTGCATGGACTTAATCCTTTGCTGAATGCCTTAGTCTCAGACGGTTCTCCCATGTAGCTTAGCCAAACCTGCGGTTTGCCATTCAGATAAAAAATTTGCTCTATTTCTTTATACACAGAGAGCAATACAGGTACTTACTTCTATATTTAGCATTTCCTTGGTTTTTGTCACTTTTTTTAACAGTGTGTGTTTATGAAGATTTCTTTAAAAAGGAGATCCCAGCAATATAAACAAATGATGTAATTCATAGGGAATTGAATTCAAGCAGCAGTACTAAGTAAATTCTCTATTGTCTTTATTTATGTCTATTTTTTAAGTAGTCCATATTAATGATGATGGGAGTTCTGGGCACCATATCTACCATGCACACAATATGCAGACAAAAGGCAATGGTTTTGCCCGATCAAATGTAGAGATTTCTACTGAAAATGTCAATTTTGAAAATTAAATGTAAATACCTTGTACATGTCACCAGAGCTACACCGTTATATCAGTCTTATGACTACTAACAATTTACTAATATATTTTTACAGCTTTTCAGGAAAACCACGAAACACAGATTCCTCAGGGAATATTTCTCCTGATCTAAGCACATCTTTTGCTGGTGTGAGTGACACTTAAGGGAGCATTTCAGAGAGAAAATACTTCCCATTGCAATATATACCTTTAAATATTTATACAGTAATTTGGTGCACTTACCCATGCTTCTTTCTGATTTATCCAGCATTTGTCCTGGTAAAGAATCGGGATGGATTTCTTTGAAGACCGCTCCATGCATTTGGAGACAGACAGTGTATTTTTGAATCAAGGTCATTATCTGTAGGGTGCAGAAAAGGCCTCTGAAGGGTAGGCACCTTGGATGGCAAGGTGCCAGTTTTAATTACTGCAGCCTAAACAAAACAATTCCCAGTGGAAAGGTCAGGGAGCGAACAAGCCAGAATAGGGCCATTAAGGCTGAAAATCACTTTGGCTAGAATTACTTTTCTTGATACCATTTTCCTGAGCAGAGATCTATCCGTCCTAAAGCTCACAGGGAAAAAAAAAAGTGGGGAGAGGCTTTAAAAGGACTGACTCAGTGCAAGAGACTGTTGATTAGGTGCATATTAAAGGGCGTGATGGAAAAGCAAAAGAGACTAGACCTGTTCTACAGAGGTAAGTGCTCATGAATTTATGCCACTTTTCTCCATGCAAATCATAAACAGCTGGAATTTTTAGAAGCCTTTTTCTACCCCAAGTAAGGGTCAGAAAAAATCCCTTTGCCCTACCCCAAGGTAGACACTAAAGAGCCCATGGCTTTGTGACTGTGTTTTTCCATGCATGACTCCCATACTATGAGCAATAGCCTGAGAAACGGCAGCTCAGGCACAAAGAGCCCGAGCCAGAACACCAACTGCTGCAGTGAAACAGTAAAATTGTTCCCCCTTGATACCCAGAACAAGGATCTGCTGTGCCAGCTCCCAAGATTAGATGGTAGCCAATGCATGGAAGTTTTACGGAAGGCACACGACATTATAGTCCCTACAGGGAATAGCTGGTCACATACAGAACTCATGGCTATGGTTTGGTCCTTCACTAAGCTATTAAAACACTTAACAGCTACAAAGTCCATCTCGCTGGTGCTGCAAAGGCTGACGTAACCACTGTTGAATGTCTGGCTCCTTGGAGAGCTCATCAGTCTGGTGCAGCTGCTTGTGTCAGATTTTATGAGAAACAGAGACCAAATGATACCTCTGCTTTCAAACATTGTCCCCAAACCAATAGGAGTCCCTACACCAGAGCATGCCTGAATCAATGCCAGAGCATTTAATTACTTCTAGCCAACATCGTTCATGGGGTGGACGTGCCATGGAGTTGGGTTGCGGTGGAACACCCTATGAGTCACACCCAAATAGCGGAGAAAATTAAATCCCAGTGTTGCAAGGGTTCAATCACAGTCCAAGCAGGGAAAAAAGGAGTAGTTTTTTCCTACCAATTTCTTCTTTCAGCTGGGGCTGCTGCCTTTGCCTCTTTTCACACAACCATCAGTCCTGGACCAGTTACATTTCCTGCTCCCATCAGCACATACTCACCTCCGTAACGGTAGTGTCCAATGGTCTGGCTGCAAAACATGGGAGTCGAAAGACTGGTGTTCAATCCCTAGCTGTGCCATAAGCATGACATGGGGTAAACAGCTCCCTTTCTGTGTCTATCTCACCTTATATTCCATTTAAAACAAAGTCTTGCCCCTCCTGCCTCCATTCAGTTCACAGATGCTTTGAAAGCATTAAAGATGCTGTCTCATAATGTTGTACCTCCTTTAGCATCCGGGGGGTGGAAAAAGTCTTCAATAAAGAACTTCAAAACTGAAGGACAGAAAAGCTTTAAAACAGGGTTAGGCTACCTTCCATAACAGGCTACCAAACAACAAAAAGGGCCCAGATGTATTGTTGAAGAGATAAACACAATAATATGTCTTTTTAGCTTACCTAATGATATTCTAAGGACTGGTTGATGATATTTTAAACAGTTGGGGCAACACTCCGTCCTAGAGCTGAATGCTTTGATGCCACAAGCAATGTAACTATTGCCTGAGGCGTGTATAAAGTCCTAAATATAAACCTTGGCCCATGAACTAAAATTACTAATGGAATTTGGCTCTAGCCACAGAAAGGGTTTAAAATCTCCCGTCTAAAGCCCTATTTGATCATGTTTCCCTTGCTGGTTGCAGTATACTGTATCAGATATGTGACTACCCAGATTCTTGTGTTGTGGTCACTCTATTCATCAAAATCACTGCTATTTAAGACTTATTAAGCCCGTATTTCTGTTTAGGAATTCCCACATAGAAATATCAGTTTATAGGTTATGCAGCATACATGCATTTAGCCTGGTACGTCCAGCATGTATTGGCCAGTGGAGCCTTGACTGCAGACTGACAGCCGTGTTGGGTTCACTGGGCACTCTGTGCTCAGGCCATGCCTGGCGTCACCAGTCACCCGGGGCATCCTCCTGTCAGGGGCCTCGCCCAGATGCCAGTTACCTAGAAATTTTTCACAAGTGACCAAATTCTTCCTTTTCATCCTGGTCAAAATTTCTGGCAAAAAAACAGAGGATATGTCTTGGAAAGCCAGATGAATAGTAGCCCTAGTGAGAGCAGAAGCAGCAGTTAAGCCTTCTGTTCAACCCTCCACATGTCCCAGACCAGTAATTTTCACTCCTTCCATTTGCTCCTGTAAATCTCTTGTGAGGAAGGACAGACCCACAAAGGACTGATACAGCTGCCTTTAGAAGTGGAATTTACATCTCTGACTGAGGTGTTAATAAGTTATATATGACAATGACATCCAGCAAATAAGGAGAAGTTCTGAAGAACAGGGAGAGCCAGTGTAGGGAGCAGGGCAGAAGGATGCTTGAGCTGACCTTTGGTTTGTGTGAGTGTGTGTATGTGTGTGATAACCAGCGTATCTCTTAAATTACATGTATAGCTAAACTCTGACTATGCACTATGTAATCCTGACATCCACCAACTGAAACCTTTTCTTAGTTTAGGGGGTTTGGATTCATTTTTTTTTCCCAAGATGGAAGGGATGGTAGAACAGCAAAGGGAGTAAGTGCAACCCACTTTTAATAGACTAATTTAAAGAATGTTTAATCAGATGTGTTTTTCTCTAGACGTGCAGAAGCATACTGCCAAGTGCATCGCAGCATGACTGAGGGTGTTGTTTAGTCTGGTCATGAAGTGATCTGTCAAAACTCTGTAGGAACCATAATTCAAGTTATGACATTGCAACATTTCTCAACCAAGGGGATATGCTGCTCAATTTCCTGGTTTGTTTGTCCATCAAAATCTACTCTTTCTTTAAAACAGCCTACTTAAACTCCCTCAAATTTTGCCAAGCCTTGAAACATGCAGTACTGGCACACACAGCAGTCGTACCTGGGAGCAAACACTTTGCAAAAATAGCTAAAAAGAATCTTTTAAGTGTTTGGAAGAATTTTATAATAGGACCATGATCTTCAAAGTACAAAATGTGCTACATTTCAGGCCAATTACATGACGGAGACGTGCATTTAGCAGTTTAATTTTCTTTGCCAAGCTACATTAGACATTTATTTTAAGGATAAACTAATGTCACAAACTGAGAGCAGCAATTGTATTTATCATGTTCATTGGGAAGTCCATCATGAAAATTCTTCTTTTAGCCTATATTCATCTGAATTCCCATTTAGAGTGTACTGTTCTACATAATTACTATAGCGTCCTTATTCTGACTTTAGCCTATATTTGGATAGTACAATGTTGTGTTAAAACATGAGCTTTAACGTACTAGTTTTGAAGAAAAATTTGTTCCCATAAAAGAACTATTAACAACAAATACCAGAATGTTGTGAATGTGTACGAAACACCAAGCAGCTCTTTAGCTAGTAAAAACTAGTGAGGAAGTGAGTCAAATTACAGACTGTACGCAGTTATTTTTAAAAACTATTCTAAATGTATCCCTTTTCCATACAGATCATATTCTTTATATAGGATATAGTTCTTGAGAACTGGTGGAAGCAGAAACTTCTTCATGGATGACAGTTTCTGGAGTCTCCTTAACCCCAAGAGTTTACGTATTTTCAGACGACACAGATGTTTCAATGGGCGAGGATTATCTAAAAATAACAGTGAGAGAGAAATGGTGGAAAAATCAATGCCATTAACAATGATTGTAAGCCAGTTCACAATCTCAAAACATGCTCTAATAAAATTAATATCAAAATCTATTACCTTGGGGCATTATTATTTTGCCACTTCTGAATAAAATACCATTCTTTTCACTTCAGAACTGTGATGATACACAATGCTGATATTAATCAAACTTCTGTTCGATATCTGCTTAACACTATTGTCTGACTTTTGGAAATATGCACACTGTACTCTGTCTCCAAAGCACTCATCTGAACACCTAAACCAGGCCTTTATTTAGCATAATCAATGGTAACTGATGAACGAACTCTCCTTTCCCTAGGTGCACCTTTTAAAAACTGCATGTTGAGGCCAGCCATGGCACCTTCCATTTCTGCTGTATCAATAAGGCACCAGGACCAGACCTTACCGTGCTTGGGCCTGCTGAGTCTTCTGAACAAATACTTCTTACCAGAATTTACGTCAGTCAAAGAGCTCAGTTTAATTTAGCCTTCCTGAACAGAACAAAAACTTCCACCACACTTGAAATATGAGTACTTAAGACTACCAAATTATTTGGACGTTCCTGTGACACTAACAAAAAGGAGTTCCTCTGCATGCCAATGTAAAATACTGAAGCAAAATTAAACACAGGGTACCAGTTTTAAACCTAAATATTTTGGTTTTTAACAGCTGATGTTAAATCAAATTCTATTTAAAATTAAAAAAAAAAAAGTCAAATAAAATTAATTCATGCAAAGAGAACATTTAATACATTCACCAACAGATTTTTTTAAGTTAAGGTGGGTGAAACCTATCTCTGGTGCCACCAGTGATGGAAGGTCCGGGCTAATGTGTAGAACTTCAAAAGTAAAGCATACATAAGAAATATTATTCACTTACAGTATTAGTAATGGCAACTAGATGTCTATCATGTAAATCGGAGTTAGGAAATGATGGTACACAGATTGGGATGGCACACTCATTGTCACCACCTACTACCTTGAACATAATGGGATTTAAAACATGCTCTTACGATAATCCTCGAACGATTAATAGACTTGAGAGATCAAGGGAGCAAAAAGAAGGATGGATGTGTGAGCAACGTTCCTCAATAAAAAAAGTTGTGCCCCATAGCTGGTATCACATAGGTTAATAAGGAGTTTGAGAAGTACCTCAGTGGTCTTGCGTAACTAAAAGGGCTTCCCACACAACAGTGACGTTCCTTATGACATTCATTCTCATCAGGTGCAAGTTTGCCATATTCCAGTCCAATTAACTAATTTATGACCAGTGGCAACAGCTCAAGATCTATCTCAATCTGAGGACTGGATGACAGGCACAACCTGGTTCTTAGCTAGTACGCATTTGGACTGCGAGAACACTTTGGATGAATGTGACCTGACATAAGCAATTAAAGTCTCCTATAATAAATCATAACATCATTAACTGGAAGTTAGATATTTACCCAATATCTGACGTATCTCTGTCCATTCTTTCTGCGTTTCTAAGACAAACTTAATTTTTGTGCATAGAGGAACATAATCCATGTAATCTATAAAAACACGAACCACTCTTCCTGCTAAATGTTTCAACCAAGGAACAGCAATAAAGTCACAGAACTGAAAGAGAAAACACATCAAGTCATAATTTCAAAATCTGTGCGGAGGAACGCCAAAATAACACATTTTAAAGCAATTACACAAGATAATTTAAACAAAGTATTAACAATGACCTTTAACAGCCATAAATCGATGCCTAGGTAGGTTACTTTAAAAGCCATTTTCTTCCATGCTTAACCTTTGTGATCCCTTAACTCATCTGGACAGGCCTGAAGACCAATAATTATTATAACATTGCTATAATTTGCGGCACTGTTTTGTTCGACAGCAATATGTCTTTGGAAACACATCTACTCCATTGGTTAGGGTAGGAACAGAAATTCCAGAATCCTGCCTCATGATTTCTTAAAACTTCCTTCCTAAATCCCTAATATATGAACCCCAAACTAAAACCACTCTATGTACGTAATATTCTTTATCTCAGAGTAGAAAATGAAAAATGGCTGTTTTATTTTTAGGGTATTTTAAAAAAGGATTTTGCCAGTATGTTAACCTTAATTCTGCACAATAATCAGGAATGTTTAAAGCTGGCTAATGAACAGAACAAAGTGAAAAGAAGGAAGGAAGGTATGTATTTACTGGATTATCCTTTATTACAGAAGAAGTCCACCCGGGGAGAACCTCTTCCTCTGGAGTTGACCACACAAAAGAATTTCCAAAGATATCTTGATGCATACAGTCAAAACACATCTCCACATTATATCCGTGATTGAGCAACAGCCTCAGCATCACCTCATCATTCAAGGCATACTGAATGGCACTGGGGAAATGCGTATCATTAACCAACATAAAGTAGCAATTGACGTTTGCTCCGTAAGATAGGAGCAGCCTTACAATTTCATGGTTGCCAGCTCTCACTGCCACAAGAAGACAGTTTAAAGGATCCTTGTTTGGATTTGCCCCTGCTTTGAGCAATACTTCAGTGCAAAGAATGTCATTGTTAGAAACAGCAAAATAAAGCGCACTTTTCCTTTCGTCATCGTAACTGTTTGAAATGTGTTCAGCCAAGAGAGTATTGACATCAAAACCATTTTCAATGAGGAGCTCTAGACACTGTGAATTCTGGCCATCTGCTGCTGAGTGAACAGGGCTTAACCCACTTTTCTGGATTGCAGTTTGGGATGTGACCGGAATGAGATACTTCAGGGCCCTAAAAGACAGTGAATAAAACTAGTTAAACATCGCTTCCCTGCATGAAGAAAACGACCCTCATCCAGCTATATGCTAAATTACCAGCTAGACACACAAGAAGATCCAAACACAGAAACACCAGTTTTGAGCACTGACAAATAGTGTCAGTGTTAGGACCTTGTGTCTAAGTTGTTTCAGTGGTTTTCACTTAGTTCTAGGCAGTGTGTTTTGCATTTTGCCTTGTTTATGCTAAAACCACTTAGAAGTTAATTCAAACTAATGTAACATAGGCACTTCTGAAAGAGAAATGATCTATACACTTGCAAGTTTACCAGAGTCTTCTTCAACGTGACCTTGTGCCACATCGTATCTTAAGGAAAATGTAAAGTCCAAGCTCATACTCACAGGTAATGGCCCTCATAAGCCGCTTTGTGTATGGGAAGCAGTCCTGCCTTATTAGGCACGTTGCCACTTCCTCCATATTCCAAAAGAAGGGCTATGCAGTCTGGATTACCTCCTCCGGCAGCTTCAAACAATATCGATGCACCATCATCTGCTAAGGCCTGGACATCTCCACCTTGAAGGAGGATACAGCATTTATAATTATATCCAAAGTGATTTGCAGATCGTCATAAAAACAAGCCCAGAGTAGCTTCCCCTTCATTTTCAGATGTATTTAAGTTAAAACTTTACTAAAACAAGAAATAGTTCTTGTGGAAAATCTAAAACTCAAAGGCAAAAGAAGAGCTGTACAGATACAAGTTCAAAAGCTCACCTGACTGGGGTCTGCTTTGACTGTAAGTGTTATAACTGAGGATTTTCAAAATTCTGGCATATTTAAAAAATAATTCATTTAATTAATTAATACCAATATAATTCTGTAGAAGGGAAGGGAAGGGAAGGGAAGGGAAGGGAAGGG